GATGCTCGGCGCGCGTGCGCTGAGCCAGGGGCCAGACGTATGCGGGACTAGAACGCAGGCCATGTGCCGAAATAGGCTTATCGGGCGACATAAACCCGGCCCCCGCAGGACGAGGGTTAACAACATGGGGGGTTTCAGGTAAAAAGAATCTGGGGGGTATCAGGGGCGCATGCCCCTCTGCATTTCACAATCATTTTATGTTTTGTCAACTAGATCTAGCATTGTAATATTTAGGCTACTTCAAAACAATTGATTTGCAAGGGTTTTACTAGTTTTAGTGGCCCTACGACTTAGGCTTAGGCTACATGTGTTCTACAGCAAAAATTACGAGTTTAGCCCTCAAATCAATGCGCTGATCTTATACTTTAGCATGTTAAATTCCCAAAGTCTACTCTAGATCTAGATCTAGATTCTAATCCCCAACTCAGACCTTCAAAACTTTGAACCGGGCCTAAAAATGCGCAAACTACCGTAATTTTGTCATGAACCGATCAAAGAATTTAACGTGCTGAAGTATAAGATCACCATGTGGGTGCATAAGTAAAAATTTACTGACAAAATTTACAGGACACACTTTTATTTCTTTGAAAGATAAGAGAAATACATACAAAAGCCAAAATGCTAAACAATAAATAGGGCCAAGACATTGAGTTCAGTTTCATTAGACCCATTATCATGCTTAGCCTTACTTCGGTGTTGATATCGATAATAGGGCATCTGTCACTTATAATGTTATAAAAACGTTTTTCATTGAAAAATACATTAAAACATAACTCAGAAGAACAGAGTATGACTGAACAACATTGCAGATAACGTAAAATTATAAAATTACCAGCAACGGGATCCAGGCCCGAATCTACGAGGGTGAGAATACCACGTTGTTGTGAAACCCATGTTGTCTCGACAGCGTTAGGCTCAAAAAGGAAGAATTGGTGCCTAGTGCAAAAGGACGGAAGTCAGAACTGTGATTTTGGATTCGTTCAGCAGAAACTGACAGGAGTATTCGTATTTCGATTCGAATAATATTTAAGTTTTTACAACCAATTAATAAGATATGTAATACTATGTTGCCAAGAACAATAAAACAAAAAAGAATACAACCACAGATGCAGCTATGAAAACACAAATAAATTGACAATGTGTTTTCTATTATCTGCTCTTAAACCCTTGATTTAAAAAAATGTTATCTTGTGTCTCTACAGTAGCCTATATAGTCATATTGGTTCTAGTTTATGTTTATATGAGCCTATAAAAATTACTAAGAGCCCAGAGATTAAGCTGGTAGTTTCAACAAAGTGTGTTAGCATCCTATTCGGGTCTTGTCTTGTGGGTTTTAAAGAGCAGAAAACAACTAAATAAATGGACGATTAAATACTTTTACTGTTTCCAAAAGGCCTGGAAATAAATTAAATACAAGGCTATCATTATTATGATAGAGCGATATCCATTTAAATTGATAATTAATGATTTTTGATATTGTTGGGTTTATTTCTATTTAATGATAAAGAATCAGATCTCATAGGCTTACAATTAGATTCAGGCTTTTTGGATTATTTTTCCACGCACATAGCTATTCACTTCGTTACTGTAGTTGTTAGTCGTCACAGCAAGATGGCGCCCATGTTGTTTATCACATCCTGGGCCTGTGTCTTTCTACTGTCGTGTCTTGTAGGTTTCGCTAATGCAAGACCCGAACGGGGCAAATGGATCAACGGAATTAATAAGGTTTGGATATGAGTGATGCTTGTATTGCCAGACAACAAATCATTTTCAGAGTAGACACTTTAAAGTTGCAGCGGCAGTTGCAATGGTTGTGGTTGTGGCGGTCCGGTGGTCCTTGGCCTTGGTGAGTCAGTCAGTGGTGACCAGTGACAGTCAGACAGTAGCAGTTGACAATACTGAGTTGAGTGGTGACATTGTGGCAGAGTGAGAGGTGATGATGTGTTGCCACAAGGCGTAGTAGAACCAAGTGATCAGTCGTTATGCCCGTGCCCAATTTTTAGAAACGAAGTGACTATTCGGACTCGAGTCCGAATATAATTTAGGCCACCTCTATTCTCACCCGGGGTGAAAATAGTACAGGAGTACAGGCTAGATCTAGATTTTCTAGATCTAGATCTAGTCTTTTTTTGGCTATTCTCACCCGGGGTAAGATTGTACTTTACCGGACCACCGGTCGGAACTACTTTCGCTATGGCGCCCCTGGTGGTGCCTAGTGGCCCGCTATTCTTCGTTTCCGAGCTCCCCTACTCACTCTCCTACTCAGTTTTCTACATCCTCACTCTTCAACTGCCAGCAATCGACTGACGTCTCTTACCGGGTTTTTCAGTCATCACGACCGTGCCACCGTGCCTTTTGACCCATGACCCTGACGACATCTTGAGGCTAATTGGTCAATCTTATCACGTGGTCCACTATTCTTATTTGCTCGCAACTCTGCTGGGTGGCCTAGGCCTACTCTTGGTCCGGCAAAGTACAATGGAGGGCTAAAGATGCACACGAGAGCTCATTTGCATAATTACAACCCCCTCGGCCCTGCTCGCGACTTGGCGAGTATCTACCCCGATTGTCCGCTCATGTTATTGTTTATAATATGTGTGTGTCAGTGTCTTTAAATAGGCAGTTCGGTTCAGCCCCGCGCGCGGTCCGGTGAGCGAGTCTCGATAGCCGTAGCACGGCTGTGACCGAAAAGCGCTATCTCCGCTATAGGGTATGTTACTAGAAGCGCGGTTTCGCAGTGAAGATCGGGTCTTTTGTTTACATCCGGGTACGCGATTCAAAGAGGAATTGTCCTACTTAGCAATGGCGTTTCATTCATGTGAATCGGATAAGTGGTTCCGGAGTTGTGTTTCTTTGAAAAAAGGTAAGTTTTCATTCTGTTATAACATCCTTTCTATGAAAATGACAGGGAAACCCTTCAAGGTTGTTTTAAATCAATATGTTAATGACCTTGTGTGTAAATATGAAGCTCCTACGATTAGCAAATTTTGAGTTACATCGCCCTAAAAAATGTACCCCATTCACAAATTTCATCGATCCCGGCGCCCAGCCGCAGTGAACTTTGACCCCAGCTCGCGCGGCCCAGCAATGGCGTTGCTAGCGAGTCTATCGGGATTGGTATCGTTGTGATTAAAGGGATATATTTACGTTTTCATGTTTTGATATTAATTTTTTATGAATGTGTTAGTGACCCTTTTAGTTTAATATGTTTGTTTGTTAGGATTTTTCCGCAAATTAGTTTACATGACGTGGTCATTATCGCGGTATCGTCGCGTTCTAGATTAATCGACTCCAGCAGTCGTGGTCATGGCAGAGTCATGAAGAAAGAATAGGGCCTAGGCCTACGTATGACTATTGGTTGGTTTTTGTTTCTGTTTTTGTTGTTTGTTTGTTTTTTAGGTTTACTGAGGAGGTTTCAGGGAGGGGGGGGGGGGGATTCATGAGTGCTTTGCTGGTTGTTATAAAAGACAATGATGTAAAAAGGCCTTCTTGAATGGCTATTTTTCCATACAATGTTAACCTCACTAATGATGCTAATTTAACTTATTTATTTTCCTTTGAATTTTAGCTCTAGTGTGTATTGCTACTTTATGAAAATAATAAAATCCAACTTACCTTTTTTTACATCCACAGAAACACAGACACATAATTCCGGAATGGATGGATTCACATGAATAAAACAAGATATACAAACCAGACAAATTCCTCTTTGAATCGGGCACCGACTTGTAAAGTTTAAACGGAAATTTGTTTAATTACGCGGCTGAACTTTATTAAAATGCGTCTAATAACAGTGCTTTTGAAAAAGTCCATAAAAGTGGGTGTTCCAGTGATAGTTTGATTAAAATTGCTTTAGTGAGACAAGCAGTTTGATGTATTGGTTGTCAAAATTGATCAAGAACTTTGGATTTTATAGACAATTTTGCGTTTTTTGACAGAATTATGTAACATTATGTGATATAACTTTCAGGAAATCTTTTTTTAAATCTACCAGTCGTGATGCTTCAATCTCACAACATTCCTAATTCCTGTATAAAAGTAATTATTCAATAAGAACTCTGTTGCATACAGATCTGTCGAATTCAAACCTAAATAATCATATAATACTCTGGGTGTACCGGTATTACGTAACCAGCATTATGCAACATTATCAAGACCGATTTTCTACAAAGTCACAATTGATGTCGAAGTAATTTACGAAAATTGCCTCGAGCTAATGGAATGCAAATGCAGCCTGTTTCAGGAGGTTGCTTGTTTTCTCTAAGCGAAAATACGAAACGTCGTGTGAAATTCTATCACAGGAAGCCAGTGCATTTTTCAACCAAAAATTAATTCAGAAAAAAATTCATAACTTTTGAACCGATAGAGATATTAAAAAAATTTAAACTGTTTTATGCTAGTTAGACCACCCTCTATCACACCAGACACACAGCAGGCATCTACAACTATTTTAAATTTTTTATCAAACTGCCTAATTATAGTTTCCAGGGGGGCAAGCCCCCCTGAACCCCCCCACCCCACTGTTGGTATGATACACGGTGGTCCACCAAAGTTAAATCCCCTGCCCACTCTCAACCACCACCACCTCTCGCTCACCTCGCCTCGCCAGTCGCCGCTGACTTCGCTATGCGTGCGCGAAGTCGCCCGCGGAACTACCTTTTATCCGCACGCCGCACGCAGAGTACTATGAGTGCGTAGTTAGGCTAGGCGTGCGTAGTAATCACGGGCCGAGACGGGTGGTCCGGTAAAGTACAATCCAGCCTTGTTGACCAAGGCTGTTTTGCTATGCCCGCCTTCTCCATCCGTAAACTCAGTTGCATTCAGACCACCGCTGCATTGTGTTTCACGCTAGATCTAGAATCTAGATAGTAATCCTGTGCCTGTGCTGTTTGCCTCATTCACATTGAGTTTGAGTTTGAACGACCGTAGCGTGCCTCTGCACCAATGGTGGATGATTCAGGGTGCCGTGAACGTAGCCTGCAAACTACGTTCACGGTGCCATGAACGTAGCTACTGCATCTAAAGTAAACTTTCTATGTCACATCATCTTCTAATATAATAATCTTATCATAGATCTAGGGCCACCTCTATTCTCACCCGGGGTGAGAATAGCGCAGGCGAGTCTTTTGGCTATTCTCACCCGGTGGGTGTTCACCGTTATAGCCTAGGCCAACCAGTGAAGTGTTCACCCTGAACCACAGAATTCTACTGTGATAAATAACAGAATTATAGAATTCTGTGCTATGAACAAACGTGATACTGTGATAACAGAATTATGGAATTCTGTGCTATGAACAAACGTTCTAGATCTATTACTACTGTTAGTGTTAGCCTAAAAGCGTGCAATTTTGTCTGTGGGCAGTGGAGAGAGAGAGAAGAGGAGTAGCGCGAGAACTTCCGGGCAAAACAAAATGGCGACCATATCTAGATCTAGTAGTCGAGGGGGCTCTTTGGAAAGGCCGCGGCTATTCGGACTCGAGTCTAAATAGCCTTCCGTGGCTATTCAGGCTCGAAACTCCAATGCGCAATCAAAGGGTGTGAAGCGGACAGATGCCATTCTCGACCTTGGTCTTCCTCAGTTTCTACGACCTGGCCTTTTTTAACATTCGCAGATCACCACTAGTCTAGATTTACTACTTCCTAGGGCGCGCTGGGTGATGAAGGATGATTATGATAGAACACTTAGAAAGGGGGAGGTGGATGTAGACGGGAAAAAAATTCCAACAAAAAGGGGGGTGAAGGGCGGTTCGCCCCCCCCTACTAAAGTACTAAAGTCACAAAAATAATACATAGATCTAGGTCTAGCTAGGCCTAATTCCTGCAGGTGGTCTGCTATTCTTCAATTTTACCTACGATTTGGTTGCCAAAATTTTCGACACACTCGCACGCACACACTCTCACCCACACACACACACTCACACACACAGGCCACTCCATTCGCAATTATTATGAGTAAATCTCAAGAACGGAAATCGCTTTCAGAGAAATAGAGTTCAAGTTTTTTCCCCAAGCGTTCAGAGAAATAGAGCCGAAATAGAGGGAAATAAAACAGGGAATTGAAATCCTTTTGTTGGTGTGACACAGGAATTGCCTGTTAAAATGGCCTCTGTAGTTGGATCCAAATGAAATTGGTAAAATATCAGAAGATGGTATCGAACAAAGAAACTATATTTCTTGTTTTGATTTCTTTTTATGGTTTGTTCTTGATGTTTTATTTACCAAGTGTTCAAATGTTTTCTTTGGTGTTGTTACAGGTGCGCCTACCCCCTGAAGTGAACAGAATTTTGTATGTGAAGAATTTACCATACAAAATAACTGCAGAAGAGATGTACGATATATTTGGCAAATATGGAGCCATTCGACAGATACGATTGTAAGTATAGTTTTGGTTGGTTGATGAATTTTTTTCCTCCCTTGTTCAGTGGCCATCAGCATTGATTTTGATTTTTGTTGTTGCTCAGGTCCCGAAAGATGATCTGATCTTACAAGCCACTCTGGTGTTTGATCTGTAGGTTGATCTATCAGTAAGTTTTTAAAAAGATTATTTTAGATTTCAAGTTGGTGCTTGGCCTTCATAAGTTGAATTTATATTATGAGAGTGTGTGCTGTGTTTGTAAAAAGTGCAAATGATACCTGTTTTAGTAATGAGATTTGAGTGGTGTATTGTCACCAAGAGGATAGGAAGGTCTGAAATGTGCAAAATGGAAGGTCATGTAAGTGTATATCGGGGCTGAGAATTGTCCGTCTAAAATTGCAACACCGCCGTCCGCTCATCCGAACACCTCTTCCACCTTTTTTCCGAGTTTCGTATTATAATAATATTGTAGTGAGAATAAAAAAACGAATAAGTGTGTTTTCATGTATTTATTGCCTCAGGCTCACATATTCTTGAAAATAGTGACATGCTAATTCAAATAACTAAATCATTGAAAATAAAATTTTGCTCCACAAAATTTTTAAAACACTGAAAATGACCGTTCACAGATGTGTGAATCCTGTGAATAATTTTTTTTTAAATCTCAAGAATAATGTATGTGCAATGTATAATAATGCTATATGTTCTTTTTGACAGTATTTGGGTACTTATTATTATTTTTCTCTAAAATTAGGGTAACAAATAAGACCTCAAACCGTACCAAAATAACCAGATTTAGCTAATTTATGCCTCGGTTTGTTTTGTTTTTTTAATTTCCCGGGGGGGGGGGGGGGGGCATGCACCCTGACCCCCCCTAGTTTTCAGCCTTTTTTTGTGGTATGCCATTTTCAGCCCTGGTATATTATTATTGTGCAGCCAATGTTTTCAGTCTGTACACATTTATTATCTACAAATATAAATTTATGGGGCTAATCGTATCAACTTTCAAAAGCCTTTAGTTTCATGTCTTCAAAATAAAGGGCCTTTTTTTTTTTTTTCGGTTTCTTGTGGACGTATGTAATACTACAAGGAACTAATTTTGCATGCATTTTTAAGTTTCAAGTCCTGGAAGCGTTCGAATTACGATTGAATCTGCTACAGTGGCAATGACAGCCATCTGCACAAACAACCACTCTCTCTATAAACACACACCCACACACCCATGTATGGTGTGTTTTAAATTTTAAAATTTCTTTATATTATTATAATGACATTGTCTAAGGAACCCCTGTCTTACTAAGATAAGCACTTTTCTCCTCACCAGTGGTTGGTCCTTGTCCTCATGTTTGACTGTATTTTAGGTCTTTCTTAGATATTTTTTCATTGGAAAAGCACAGGCAGCTTTCATATCTTTAGATAGGATTTGGAAGACCAGAGATATCTCACTTCAAACAAAGCTGAGGATTTTCAATTCAAACGTGAAGTCGGTCCTGTTGTATGGACGTGAGACATGGAACGCATCACAGACATGCATAAAGAGGATCCAGGTTTTCTTGAACAGGTGTCTAAGAAAGTTACTGAGGATCAGATGAACAGACAGGGTCACCAATGTGGAAGTGTTGAGGAAAACAAGACAGATCCCAGTCAGAGATGAGATAGGAAGAAGGCGGTGGCAATGGATTGGACATACTCTCAGGAAGTCAGGCAGCTGCATAACAAAGAAAGTTTTGGATTGGAACCCACAGGGCAAGAGATCAAGAGGAAGACCTCGTGGAACCTGGAGAAGAATCACAGAAATCGATGTACAGAAAAGTAGGAAGACATGGAATAACATCAAGAGGATAGCCCGGGATAGAGAAAGGTGGAAGGTGTTTGTCCGTGGCCTATACCCTGGTGCAGGGTGAGAAAGGCAATGATGATGATGATTTGATATTTTTTCATGGTCTTATGCTGTGTAAGGGGGTCCTAAAGCTTGGAATAGAATTATTAGCTTTTAGAAGGGTGTAAAACTCAAAACAGAAACCACCCTAAAATTTTGTTGACTATTCTCAAAACAAAAATCTAACCCAATTATTTTGTTCTTTTCAGGGGCAATACACCAGAAACAAAAGGCACAGCTTTTGTGGTCTACGAAGACATCTTTGAGGCCAAGAACGCGTGCGACCACCTGTCGGGTTTCAACGTGTGTAACAGATACCTGGTTGTTCTCTACTACCAGTCCACCAGGGTAAGATGCTGCCTTCCCATCGGAGCATAGTTTTGGAATTTGTTAACCGTGCTGTGTGGTGGACAAGTGTGATGTATGCAGATGGAGGGATGTTGTACAGTTGTTGGGTTGTTGTTGTTTTTTTTTTGGGGGGGGGGGTTGTTTTTTTTGTAGCATACACAAGAAACATGACATGTCAAGCTGTCTTAAGTCAATGAGCCGTGGCCTGTATGGAATCGCAGTGCTAGCTCCCTCATCATCATCCAGTGCCAGATCAGCGACAGACTTCGGCGATCATGTTTCTCCATTCATACCTTTGCTCGGATCCTCTCAAAAAAAGCTACGTTTCCCTGATCTTTCCCTGTTACCCATTTGTTTAGGTTCCACAAGTAGATTGTTCTGGGCTTATCCCTGCCTAGTTTGCCTTTAATTTTTCCAGTGAGAGCTAGATGTTCAAGACCCTTGTGTCTATTCACAAAAACTAACTAACATACAGGCTATTTTCCAATTTTTTTTCCAAACAATTCACCGGAATGTAAATATTAACCCTTAAAACCATATACTGGTGGTTACCGCTGACGGCGTACTTTCCTTTACCGCTGGTCAACTTCATCGTTTAATTCCTAGTGCTAGAAACAAGGGATGTAACTCCAGATGACTCTGTTGCGAGCAGAAAGTATCAATAATGTCATAAGAGCAGTTCTACACCAAAAGTTTAGAATCTTTGTGAGTTAAAAAAAAGATTAATGGCTCTTCGCTGCCAGGCGGCAAAATTTTTGGCATTTTTGTTCTTGAACCAGACCTTGATATATCAATAAATATGACTGTTGAAGACGATTGCAATGTTTCGCATAACATCGATGATGATTTTGACGATACTGGAAGTGGCAGGGATCACCACTGGGGCTGCCAGAGGCTAGATCTACGACTGGTTCTAATGATGCTTTGACTGAAATGGAGTCAGGGATGACACACAAGATTTACTCATATTTGATTGAATCCCAAAAAACAGTGTTTTCACCTTTTCCCCTTTTGTCCAGACTGTGCATTCATATGTACATAACATTTTCAAACTTCAGTAAAATCTAACAACAGTTAAAGACACAGTGAATAAAATAATGAACTAACCTGATTTTTTTCTAGTATCTCGATTTTAATTCGGGATTCTGGGGAGTTATGAAAAAGAGAATTCAGAGTTTTAAGGGTTAAGCTACTGACTTAATATTTGGCTCTAACATAATGATACATTTCTCTTCTTTATAATACTTTTAACTGTACTAAGTTATCAGTAAAAAAAAATGTTTGACTACTTCACTTATTAAAATTTTGGAAAAACTTTCCAGCTCACTGATTGTGACAGAAAATAACAACAAAAATGAACTACATTTGTAACACAAAAATATGAGGACTAGCCGAAGAAGAAGTGCTGCACTCACGTACGTCTTTTTGGGTCCTCACGACACCTCGCGTCTAGTCATGTGAATGAAATCACCGATATGAAATAAAGGGGAGGGCACGACTTTTTTCGCGGAGCACTTCAATTGTGCGTTGCAGTATATTTTCAGCCTTATTACTTAAGTCAAGAATTTTTCTTAATAATAAGAGAAGTGAAAAGACGTTGGGCCTTTTGTAGGTCACAAAAGTGAAAGTAGTTTTTTATCTAAACTACTGCTTTTCAGAAGTATTCTGTATTTTCAGTTTGAAAAATGATTCAACTAAAGCTTTGTACAAAAATTACAATGCATTTTCGATCATCATTTTGAGAAAAATGAGAAACCCCTCTCCTACCTATGTTAGGGATCAGAGCCAGGCCAATGTGATGTTAATGTAACTCTTTATTCTGAAACTGTAGCTTCACAGGGTTGTAGTACCATTAAAAAATTTTCAGGTGAACAGAACTTCTCTCTAAAACCAGGCTTAATATGCTGTATGGGATTTTTCTTTGTTGAAAAGAATCTGTGTTTGTTAAAATAAAGAATTTGAGCTTCATATACAAGGATCAAGAGAGACTAAATTCTGATCGGAAGAAGAAGGCTATATCGGTCAAATGGAGGTAGTACCTGGCAGAAGGTACAACGATGAACTCAAATGAGGCACTGGCCAGGACCCTGAATCAAGTTTCGTGTTAAAAAAAGTTATCTCCAATTCTCCATTTTACATATGAGCATTGGCATTCCTTCAAGTTTAAGAAAACATTTGTGTGTCTCTTTGTATTTTTGGGGTAGCAATTGGTTTTTTATCATTCAAAATATTTAATATCATTCAGTCTGGCTGCTCGTACATTTTTAATTTTACATTGTATTGCATAGCTTTGTACATCATGGTGCCTACCAAACACTGGGTTCCTTTGGACATTTCTTGAACAATGAGAATTATATGAATGCAAGGATTGCAAAACTTCAAAATTTAGTTTAAATTAAGTTAAAATAATTAATGTGTTATTCAAGAAGTCATGTTAACACCAGTATAATCTATTCTAATTGAGACTGAAGTTGCTGTGTTCTAGTTCTATTGTGAAGCAATGCTAAAAAGATGTCTATTTGGTGTTTTCTTCTTGTGCTCAACTGAACATGTACTTTGTAACTGCTTTCTTGCCATAGTCAAAGGCTCTTTAATGTAAATGAATCTTTAATTTTGGTTTTAATCATTGCATTATATTGTTTTTATTGTCTCTAAAACTACTAGGTGAAGTGTGGTTTTATTTCTCTGTCAGTAATTTTGGGATAGGGCAAAACTAGGAGATTGTGTTGAAGAATGGTATCAAAGAAATAAAGAGCTACCAATACAGGACAAAGCTGTTTTACTGTAGAACAATGTGCTTTCGTTTTATTGATGTGTGCACTGTAAAGAGAGAACTGGACATTGTACCTGTTCTTTTAAAAGTAGTGTGTTAGCATTTATCAGTGTCAGAGTTTGTCGTCTCTTCCTTTACCGACCGAAGAGTTCTTCTTTCTGTGGGTTATTGTCCCTTTCCTTCTTATTCTGTGGTTGTTTGAGTAGAGCATTTTTTCTATATACTCCTTTATGTGTACACTTAAAACTGTTTCAATCTTTTATTTCTGTCATTTGGTACAGAAAAAAATATCATTGAGTGTGAATGCAACTATCTCTTGATCATCAAACTAAATTTCTATTGTAGATATATACATTACATTTTCTGAGCTTGTGATGAAGTATTTCTTCTTTTGTTTCTTTTTTTTTTGTTATACTCTTGTCTGATCATTTTACTGATTTTCTATTCTGTCAATCTGCCTTGTATTTCTGTAGTCCACCTGGTCCTTTTTCTTTTTTCTTTTTTTTTTTTTTTTTTTTTTTTTTTGCTTTTTAAAGTTAAAGCTCAAATATGGGTGGTAGGCAGGTGCTCTGGTGTAATTTGCTCCTTCTTTTCTGTCAAACATCACATCTATTGTCCTTGTCCTCCCCTCCTTCTTTTATGAGTTTGTTATTCTCATGTAATACCTCTATTCTTTGGCACTCATATTACCTTCTTGCATTGCCAGTGCCGCAAATAAACTTCTATCGTTCTTATCTTCCCTTCTTTTTTTGTCTTACTTTGTTACTCTCTTGTAACACCTAATCTTCGGCACTAATGTGACCTAATTCTGTTCCAAGTGCCGTAAAACACTTACTAAAACAAAGAAAGGAAGGTCGTTGTATTTTCAAAAGCTTGACCTGATGACTGATGAGAATGATACTGTTACTGTTTAATCTCACTGATGTTTAAAAAAAAAAAAATGCCATTAATATCTGATTTTCACTGTACATCGAATTCGAAGAGATTCATGTGTGCCCATTCTTCTTCACTTTGTTGGTGGTTACTCAGTTACTATTTCTGAGAGTGGGTGGTTAGCAGGTACTCTGGTGTGGTTTGTTCCTCTCCTACTTTCCTATCAAACATCTATCATCTTTATCTGTCCTTTTAAAAAAATTTGTATGTTAATCTCTAGTGAAACGTCTAATCTTTGTTACTTATAACTTGTGTATATGACCTGCTTGTGTCGTAAGCACCATAAAACTCATATATACAGGGGGGAAAAAACTGTCTCTAGAAAGAAGTGAAAGGGTGAAACAAGATCATTTGAAATGAATGAAAGCCTTGGTTCAGTGGTGGCTCGTGCTCCTCTTTTTGTAGTCAAAGCGTTGGATTATCTGATGATATTATTATATATATGGTTGCCATTGGCTCAGATGCTGAGATGACATTTGTTATGCAAGGTACCTAGGTTCAGATCTCTTGAGAATGTTTCTTTGTACCTGGAATGTCAGTAGAGTGTAGTGTGGGGGGGGGGGGGGGGGGTTTGATCTCAGCAATTGCTCTTAAAAATAGGTGCATGTTTGTGACTTAATTTGAAATGTTAATCAAAAACTTTTAGCAATGGGTATCATCCTTGCAAATGTACAAATTATATACCCAAGGTTTACTTCAATTTTATAGTCAGAAACTTGTTTCACAAATATTGGAGCAGATACTTTTAATCTTTTTTTTTTCTTCTTCATGCTTTTCAGGCGTTCAAGAAGACAGACACAGAGAAGAAGAAACAGGAACTGGACCAGATGAAGAGTAAATACGGGTTGGCCACGCCGGAGAATAAGTGATCCAGTCCCCTCATACTACTGTCCACCTGTACATAGACTTGTCATTTCATCACTTCATACATCTTGTACCATTTTTTTGCACTGATTGTCATGATGTCACATTCTAAATTACTAAAATGTGTTGATATCTGAAGAGGGGAAGGGGGAATCTCTTCTTTTTTTTTTTTTTTAATCACATTTTTGTTATCCTCACCCGTTTTTAATGAGATAGCACACGAAAGGAAGAACGCAAATCACAAGTTTAATTTCATGTGCCCAATGTCTCATTTTTGTTGATGTGATGTAATAAATGATTGTTAATTTACTCTCTTGTTTTGCTTTGTGTGGTTTTTCTTGTTTTGTTTTGATGGCTGATGTCTTGTGTGATCTCTCCTCTCCACCTCTGTGGTTTTAATCTTTATCATCAGCCTTTCTCGCCTGTGTGGGAGTATAAGGCCGATCTTCCATAGGATTAAGGATGGCACACTGCGTGAAAACAAAAGTTGGCACAAGATTTAAGAATACAGCCTTACATGGGACACAGCGGTAACAAAAACTGCGTGTGTTAAAAAAGTCAACTTGTTCACTTTTTATTAGGTGTGTGACACTACAGGTGAACTCGAGATAGACGACAACAAGAAGAAAGCTTATGAGAGCCAGGACTAAATTTTCTTCTACAGAAATTGGATCCCACCAATTACAACCCACGGGTTCTAGATGTGGAAGCACTAGTGTCTTGACATCTTCATGAGTTTTGTATGATATTCTTAGATGGTTGAAGAATAATTTGTCATCTTTACGTGTCATCAAAGAGCAGAAAGCTCTTTAAAACTCTCCTCTTGTGCTCCTCAAAAGAAAATGTTCACAGCACCACATGGTGCACTTTTTCCTCCTCTTCTTTGTATTTATTAGCAATGCCAGCGCAATCAAAGTATCTTCATCAGAAGATCCCGTAATGATTCAAGAAAGTGTGCCTGCCTCCGCCATTACAACTTGTCACGCGGCGTGTCTCCTATGCGAGGAGACATGTCGTGTGCCTTCCAATGGATGGTAGGCCTAAGCCACAGACAAGAGCTCTCCATCTACTTCTGTCCTGTGCTATGGTCTCCACTGCTGTCCTGCTGTATCCCATCTCCTTTTGGTTCAAATCTAAGTCCCTCCTCCAATTACTCTTAGACATAGGCGTTCCATCCCATTCTGAGTGAGCATTGAGCTCAATATTTTAGCAGGGAGACAAGGACACTTGATACAAGGACTTGGATGATTCTAGATCTGCCCAGTAATGTGATAAAATTGGAGCTCACCATCTTTTTTTGTTTTACGTTGAAGAACCCCGATCAGATCTGCATAAGATCCAATTCTTTTCTTGAATTTTGTTGCCCTTGGTCACAAGTGACTTATTGTAAATGATGTGAAAAATACACAATTTAATTAAATTGTATTTATTTACAACTGAATTGCACAACTTATGAGCCAAGTGAAAATACACATTTTCATTTGCACGTATGCACTAATGACGTTTATTTGCCACCCTGTTACATACTCTTAATCTCTGGGGGTTCTGGAGACTGATATTAATATATACTCCCATTTTTGGAGGACTTCAATTTTGAGGACAACTGTTTTTGGTCATGGAGTATGGAGTGGTTGGCAGGTCTAGTCTATGGTTCTCTTTCTTTGTGGGTTTCATCTTAAGGCCTGGTGGGTAATGTTTGTTTTCGGTTTTGCCAAGGTCTATCCCATCCACTTCCATTTTCTCTTTTTTGATTTTTATACAATGGAGTTCACTTAAACGGAACACAATTACTCTGAAAACGGGCAGTAAACCGAAAGCAAATAAAATCCCCTTTTTTATCTTCTATTTGAGCAACTTCTTTACTTTAAGCCGAAATCCTAGCTAAACCCAGGAAATTTCTGTACCCACTTAGAATCTGTTTAAGCGAACTCCTCAGTATTTTCTGCTGGTTTGTTTGCTTTTATCTTACTCAGTGTAAAGCTCTTTCCTCAAACAATATCTTGTATTTTATTTTACTTACCCTACCAATAGCTTGGCTCGCCACTTTGTTTTCCCATAGGATTTACCTGAGTAAATCAGACTGGAGAGAAAAAAAGTCGAACGGCTCTCTCTCTCTTAATAAGCTATCAACAATCGGGCTACATTATTACAATTGTTGAAGTAGAGCAGAATTTAACAAGCTCCAGTACAAGTAGACTCAAACCCAGGACCCATGTACTATGGTGAAGTACCGTATTGAATAATTTCATTGGAGCCAATACTAATAGGGTGTCTCGTTTAAAGACAGAAAAGAATCAAAACGAATTCGTTGCATCCAGCGTCAGGCAAAGAGGGTGGGTGGTAGGAGGGCGCTCTGGTGGGGTTTGCTCCTTTCCCATCAAACATCTATCATCTTGCCTTATACCTTCTTTTCTTTCTATGTTACTCTCAAGTAATAACATTCTTATCTTTGGCACTCATTAGACCTATTATTTGTGTTGCGAGTACTATAAAACTAAAACTCTTCATCATCATCATTGCCTTTCTCACCCTGCACCAGGGAACAGGCCATGGATAAACACCTTCCACCTTTCTCTATCCTGGGCTAGCCTCTTGATGTTGTTATTCCATGTCTTCCCACTCTTCTGCTTCATCATCATCAATGCCTTTCCCCCCTGGCAGGGTATAGGCCACATACAAGCTCCTTCCATTTATCTCTGTCCTGAGCCATCCTTCCAAGCTCGTTCCAAGTGAGCTTCATTTCTCTCATGTCCCTTTCCACGCATCTCCTCCATGTTTCCCGTGGCCTACCCCTGCCTCGTGCTCCCTGGGGGTTCCACTGCAGTGACTGTCTTGTGATGTTTCCGCTGGGCTTTCTTAAGGTGTGTCCCATCCATCGCCACTTTCTTAGTCCTATTTCTACTTCTATATCCTTTTGTCCTGTCTTTTCCCACAGCTCTTCATTTTTTATTCTATCCTGCCACTTAATTCTTAAAATACTCCTCATACATCTGTTGATGAAAGTCTGGACCTTATTCAGTACTGTCTTCGTTGTCTTCCTTCCCACTCTTACTTAACCTAAAAGTAAAATCAATGAGGACTTTTTTTTCTTTGTTCTGTTTTGTTGAAATGTTTTGCACTCCTAGAATATTTTTTAAAATGAGGGTGTACTAAAGAGACCAGTGGGTCCATGAAAGGGCAGTGTTCAGAGGACATCTTGTGGAGGGAAGGTGAGTTGAAGCAGGGACCTACCCACCCTCCTCCCTCCCCTACTTTTTCCCATCCCACACTAATTTGAACTTCAAACTACTATTTATATATATATACTTGTGCATTATTATTATGTTGATCAAATCTCTTGCCAACTTCATCCCATTGACTGAGACATTAGTGTCATTAGAAAAGGCTGATACAACACATATGTACTAGTGATACCACAGATACATTAAAAAAAATAAGGACTTTTAAAAAACAAACACTATAATTCCATAATATTAATATCAATATTTTATTTTCAAAAGGCTCTGAAAGTTGAGCCAAACAGATAAACCATAGCAGTTCTAGTTCTTTATATCATCAGCACACAAGTACTTACGACTATATTACACATACACAAGTACTTTTGTAGATGCTATGAGCCACGAATGGTTCAAGGATGAAGGCTAGCCTACTTGAAATTGAAGAGGCAAGCTAGTAATTTGACACACTGGTAGGCTTACAGACAGGATCTCTCTTCGCCAAACTCTTCACAGGCTCTTAAACTTTCACTGAAGTGTTACCTTAGGCTGTTTTTCATTGTACTTTTCGAAACATTAACATTTATTGTGTCATGATTTATCAGCACATAGCTATGTGGTTTCAGTAAGAAAAACTGGGCCTTACTATTAATACTTTTAGCACAGACCAAACCAGGCTTCAAACACCTCAAACTGATGTCTGTTTACCATTTATAGTGTTTAAGAGTGTCTCTTCCTAGGAACATACCATCAGTAACGGTGTTTTGAAAACTGATAGACCCTACACTCAAATTTATAGGACAACTATTATCAATTTCAATATCAAAAAGGTTTAACGTTGATAAAGAAGTAAGCATAATATTAATACATTATTGTGCAAATTTGAAATAAATACTGTTCATGTAAAAAAATGAGACATTGGTTTGTTTGTTTGGGGGGATTTTCTTCTCTTTTTTGTGTAGAAGTTTGTTGGAGAGTTCTCTTTGGTGTAGCTTCCTACGTCATCATTGTGCTGATGGATGTGACGATATCTTGGGCTGGCGGCCTGCTCTTTGGTTCTGGGTTCCAGCATGCGACGTAAAGGTCACGGTACATGACCTGGCAGGGGTCGTTTCCTGTGTCATGGGGCTCTGGTCTCTTGCCCTGTTTAACCACAAGGTAGATGAGCTGGTGTGGCCCAAATCCTTCATAGGGGGTTCTCCGTGTCACCTGGACAAATAACATACCTTACGTTTAAATTATTAAATGTTTCATTTGGAATAGTATACATGTAGTAGTGTGTGATTTTATCATTTTTTATTTGTTTACTCACTGTCTCTTCTTTACCATCCCTCTGTTGTTTCTGTCTGTCTGTCCTACTTTTCCCCAGCACAAAATGACTATTATTCTTTTGATGTGCTTCTCTTTACTCAATCAAACAAACGCACATTCTAGAGTGCACATAACAAAATTGGGGGGATGCGGAAATCCTTTCATTATGTACGAATTTTGCTATGTACATGCTTTGAATACAAAGAACATCTATACGAGAAAAAATTCAATGGGGTGTGAATGAATTAACACAATATGCTGGCTTTATTGTAGTGCTTATTGATAGTGTTTCTTCTTGTCTTATTTTTCTTTCTACCTGCCTGCATGTCTGTAAAGCCCAAAATAAATAACTACTCTCTCTCTCTCTCTCCCTCTCTGTCTCCTCCTCTCTCTCCCCCCCCCCTCTAGTTCTTTCTCGTTCCCTCCCTCTCTGTGCCCTCTTTTGCTTTCTTTATATGCGGTACCTCCCCCCCCCTCTCTCTCTCTCTCTCTCTCTCTCTCTCTCTCTCTCTCTCTCTCTCTCTCTCTCTCTCTCTCACTCTCTCTCACTCTCTCTCTCTCTCTCTCTTTCTTTCTCTCTCTCTCTCTCTCTCTCTCTCTCTCTCTCTCTCTCTCTCTCTCTCTCTCTCTCTCTCTCTCTCTCAACCACACTCTTACATCAATCTCCCTCCTCTCCCCAGCGTTCTCTCCTTATTGTATTGAATAATTCTTCTTTTTAAAGGTAAAAATTAAAAAGTATAATACAATCACAGAAGAAACAAACAGTTGCAATATCTTACCATTTGCCACAGGGTAATGGCCAGTGAAAACACATCCGCCTTGGCACTGGGAGGTGCCCCTTTCATCAGCTCTGGGGCACGGTAAGGTAACGTTCCTGGAATGTAAGTAACAGTACAGCATTAGTTTTAGTACATGTAAGTGTTTTACGGCACTGGCAGCATAATAAGGTCATATAAGTGCCAAAGATTACAGGTGTTACAAGAGAGTAACAAACACAAAATAGAAGGAGGGGAGTTTAAAGACGATAGATAATAGATGGTTGATAGGAAAGAAGGATCAAACCACACCAGAGCACCCTCCAACCACCCACCATGTAACAGCATAGGGAAATAATAACTAATACTAATACACTGTACTGATAACAACAATAACATTTTAGTTCAGCCTTAATAAGAGTTTAGTGGCACTTGTAACACAAAAAGTGTGAAAGGTTAGAAGTGTTTGTTTGTTTAAGTAAAGAAAAGCATATCAACACCACAATGGTCATTTAATGCTGGGAGGTTATTTATTTGCTTTTGTAAATACATTGCAATAAATGCGCTGTGCTGTATATTACGTGTATTATCATTTTTGGGGTATATTTTATATAATAAAAGGCCTATCAACAGAGGGAAAGTAAAGAAGTAGGACCCACCAGGGGCGCCCTCCACCAACCACCTGTGGTTAGGGATGTTAGTGTTACTAGTCTAGAGAGTAACTAACATCATAATAAGAAGAAAGGAATGAAAGATATGGACAATAGATGCTATCTGATTGTGAAAGAAGAGTAAACAACACTGAAACAGAATATAACATGTAAAATAATGACAATAAAAAAGTCTTTGTTTGGTTTAGTAAAAGAGTTTTACAGCCCATGCAACACAATAAGGTCATATAAGTGCCGAGGAAAAGATGTGTTACAAGAGAGTAACATACACAAAAAAAGAGGAGGAAAGATAAGGAAGATTGATATTAGATAGGAAAGAACACCTGCCAACTATCCACAAAGTCTTTGTAAGCTAAAGCCAAGGATGATTTGAATTGGAAATCGAACTCATGTACTCTGAGTACTACAAAGAAGACTCTAAGAGCCTAACCACTGCACCACAAAGGCCCACCAAAGGCAGACATAGATCTTCTCTCTCTCCAAAACTTACCCAACAGTTGTGTGAACTCGAATTCTTCCCTGGGGTCATCGGGTCGAGTCCTCGTCAAATTTCCAAAGTCCGCCAGTTTGCAGGTCCCCGATGACGTCATCAGTACGTTTTTCGGCTTCACGTCCAGGTGAGCAACGTGGTTGCTGTGCAGGTAGTGCAGAGCCTGGGAGATCTGATAAGAAAAGAGTAACACTCACAGTGAACGTGTAAATAATGACAGACGTGCATAGTAGCAAACACGTACATAACAAAAGACATACGTAGCTAACTGATTTTCAGGTCCCATTACATTTCTCCTCTTTATTTTTTTAGGTTTTGTTTTGGTGTTGTTGTTGTTGGGGTTGGGTTTTTTTTT